TGTCTTCGGGGAAGCCTTGGAAAACTTCTCTGAAGGTTCGGGGACTTCCGAGCCGTCTGAGTAGGCTCGCCACTGCTCATTTCCCTCCCTCGATCGTCGCCGAAAGTACATGGGGTCGGAGGATGGCGCCGCATCGGTGACGCATGGGCGATGCATCGCCGCTGCATCGGCGACGTCGGCGTTGCATCGGCAACGTCGGCGTGGAGAAAATCGGGCTCCGCATCGAGCCGTATCGGCGGAATCGCCGGGCAATACGGCGCGATCCTCCTAGTATACCCCATCTACTCTCTGGGGGGCCCCGAACAGAAGGACATCCGTCAGGAACAGGGGGCCATCCGCCGGCCAGGCGTAAGATCCTTCGAGGGCACCCTCCCCCAAGGATGCACGACGACACGCCACAGGCACGAAGAACATCGGGGCACCGTCCCCGAAGCGGCCTCGATCTCGCACCTCGGCCCGACCGCGTCCCCGGGGCGCCGGTAGCCCTCAGAAGCCTGGCGAAGGCTGGCAGATCCGCGGCAGCTGCCACAAAGGAGCTCCGTGAACTTGCTGTTTGGCTTCCGGGGCGCAGCCCGTCTACCATTTAGTGCGCTGAGCTTTCTTCGGGAGCGGCAAAGGGGGGGGGGTGTCCAGGAAGGGGGGGTGCAAATCATGACCGGCGGCATGTGCGCGGCCCAGCCGGGGGGCCAGGGACGTAATGAAATAAGAAGAGGCGCCATGAGATCTGGGGAAATATCATGGCCCACGCCATGATATATCCTCTTCCCCCTAGTCCCTAGTCATCACCCCCCTCTTTTGCGCCCCCGAATTTAGTGCGCTGAGCTTTACTCCGGGGAGTTTTTTTTTTCTTCCACGGATCTGCCAGCCCTCGCCCAGCCTCTGAGGCCCTCGCCCTCGGCCGAGCTCCGCGGGCGCATGCGTGCCGGGCCCGCCGCTGGGCCACTCGCCCCCGCCGCCGCCGCCGAGCCGCGCGAGCGCCCCGCGCGCCTCGGGGACCTGCGGACCCGGGCCGACCCAGACTTATGTCGGGCGTGTCCCCCTACAGGGGGATTTTCGACGAAAAATTCAAAATATCCCCAAAATGCCCCAAGAAGGACAAAACATACCCCCAAAAATAATGCCCAGGCTTTTTTGGGACCACTTTTTGACTATTTTGGGGGTATTGTTTATTTTTCGTAGAAAATCCCCCTGTAGGGGGACACGCCCGACTTAAACCCAGACACGGGTCGGTCGGGCCTGGCAGGATCCAGCAAGAGCCTGCAGGGGCCTGGAAGATCCGGCACCCAGACCCGGGTCAGCGCCCTGGAGGCAGGAAAGGGGTATGGTAGAAAGAGGCGCAGTGCCAAGTCTGTGGGGAGGGGGCCCTGGCGAGACATCATCGGTCGCAGATGGCATCGCCATGTCCACGCTTGGCACCACGCCCCCTTTCTGCCACGCCCCCTCCCCGACCTCCAGAAGTGCGACCCTGGCCCGCCAGGATCCTGCACTTGGGCGCCCGAGTTATCCGGGGTAACTCGGGTCCGGGGTAAGTCGGGTTTGGATTCCCGAAAAAGGAACCCGAGTTAGCCCTGACCCGAGTTACCCCTGATGATTCGGGGCTCTGGACGCCCGAGTTATCCGGGGTAACTCGGGTCCGGGGTAACTCGGGTTTGGATTCCCGAAAAACGAACCCGAGTTATCCCTGACCCGAGTTACCCCTGATGATTCGGGGCTCTGATGCACGCTCTGGCGCTCCGACGCCGACCCCCGCTCGCACGGACCCCCCGCCTCTCGAGCCCCCGACGGCGCAGCCACGGAGCGCCGCAGCCGGCGAGGCACGTGCACGGCCGTGGGCCGCCAGCGCGCGCGCCGCCGAGGCTTCAGGCGGCACGAGGCAGGCGGGCCCTGGCGGACGCGGGCCCTGCAGAGGCACTGTGGCGGATGGCGCCGCGTACCCAGACCTCCTCGCGTCGTGAAAAAATCACGACGGGAGGTTTTTCGCTATTTTCGGCCTCCGGGGGCCCTCGCCGGGCCTCGGGACCGTCAAGAAACGATTCAGGACGAAAAACCGGTCCGGGGGAATGGGTCGGGACCTCTGGGGGTCGCGTCATGAAAAAATCATGACGTCGGGGGTCTGGGTATACTGCACCACAACTAAGGGACATGAAATCAGGGTCCCCCCCAGAACTAAGACCATGTAATGCGCCGCATTCGTCTACAATGAGATCAGGGGCCCCCCCAGAGCTAAGACACCTGCCCCGCCCCCCCAGAATTGCGGCTCAGTCCTGGGGCAGTGCATGGCGGGGGCCAGGATCACTTCCCCGACTCCATGGCGCCGCTGCTTGGACCCCGCGGACCGCCCCCCGGCACCAGAAGCCTCCGGCCAGAGCCGCTTCCTCTGGCAGCCCGCCAGGGGCGCGGGAGGCCCCGAGGAGGCGGAGAGCGGCGAAACACCTGAGTAGAAGAAGCAGACGAATAGTAATAAGATTAATCATGATGATAATAATAATAATAATGATAATAATAATAAGAATAATAATAGTAATAATAAGAATGATGATGATGATGATAATGATAAGAAAAATAATCATACTCATACTCATACTCGTACTACTACTACTACTACTACTACTACTACTACTACTACTACTACTACTACTACTACTATACTATTACTTCTACTACTACTAATAATACTAATAATTATCATAACAACAACAACAACAACAATACTATTATTATTAATAATAATTATAATACTAACAATAATAATAATAATAACAATAATAATGATAATAATAATAATAATATCAACAACAACAACAATTGTAATTAAAAGATTAATGATTACCAGAAGAAGAATAATAATAACAACAACAACGCCACAAACACAACCCTGTGGCGCTCCGCGCGGAATTCTTGGACCTGCGCTGGACCCCCCCCTCCCTGGCGCGCGGAGTCCCTGGCGCGCGGAGCGCCAGAGGCGGCGCCGGAGGCGCCGCGGGGGGGGGGGGGATTCCCAGCGCGGATCCAAGAAACCCGCGCGGAGCGCCGAAAGCTCGGCGTTTCCTCTTCTTCGACTCGGGGCGTTCTCCTCGGGACCCGTCTGCCTCGCGGCTGATCAGCCCCCCCCACGAGCGTCTTAATTGAGTGCGCCGTGCAGCGGCCGGCACGGCAGAGCCCGGCAGGGCTCCTCCTTGGCAGGCCGGGCCGACGCCCGCCCGCAGCGGTCGAGGGCCTCGGGTTCCGCCTCTCGGCTGGCGGAGGGCCACCGCCCGGGCCACGGGTGCTCCGCGCCGCCTCCTCGCTGCCGAGCTCCAGATCGGCTCCGGTCAATCCCCGTCCCTTGCCTGCCCGCTTCTCCCCTTCCCTCCCCCCCCCTCGCCTCCTCTCCCCCCCCTCCCTCTCCCCCCCCTCCTCGCTGCCGAGCTCCAGATCGGCTCCGGTATCCCTGTCCCTCCTCTCCCCCCCCTCGCCGGGCAGCAGGGCCCTCCCGGGAGCAGGGTGTGGGGCCGTCCTCGTGTCGTGTGCACGATACAGGCCCGTGCTGCGTGCCCCGCGCGCACACCTTGCTTGCTCCCGCCCCCCTCTCCTCCCATGGCCCCTTCCCTGCGCTTTGTGGCTTGGGTTTCAGACCGGCCTTCGCCTCCTCAGCCCTCAGCATCCACAACCCCTTGTCTGCTGTGTAAAAGTGGGCCCTCGAGTCGCAGACGGCTGGCGGAGAGCTCGACCACGACTCGTCGATCAAGATCTGTAGAACAAGTACCAGGTCCGATAACAGATCCGACCGCAATCAGGCCAGCATGCTGGCAATAGCAACACGTTTCCCGGTATGACAGAAGTGGCTGACCCTCCTCCCCCTCCTGCCCCATCCTCCCCATCCTCCAAAGCCACCATGTCTGATTGCGCATCAACCGATGGGGTCACTCTGGGGATCCAGGTCCTCTAGGACACGTCGGTCGGCGGACAAAAGAGACTTCAGCGAAATGAGAAGGGATGGGCGGGAGGGGTAAGATGTCAGATGTAGAGAAATCGCACCTGGCTTGTCCTCCTCCCATTCATCCTCCGCCTCCTTGCTCTCCTCCTGCTCCTCCTCCTCCCCCTCCTCCTCCTCCTCCTCCTCCTTCTCCTTCTACTCCTCCTTCTCCTCCTTCTCCTCCTCCTCCTCCTCCTCCCCAGCTCCCCCTCCTCCAGTTCCTCCAGTTCCTCCAGTTCCTCTCCTCCTCCTCCTCCTCCTCCTCCTCCTCCTCCTCCCCGCCCCCCGCAACATGCCCTACTCCTCATCCTCGCCCTCGTCCCCTCCTCCTCCTCCTCCTCCTCCTCCTCGTTCTTTTCTCTTCCTCGCATTCCTTCCCGCCTCGTCCAACCCGGTCACCGCCTCGTCGTCGCGCTCGCCTCCACCGTCGCATCCTCCTTATTTTGGTCCTATTCAACCTCTTCGCTTTTTCCGTCTTTATGTTCGTCCTTACTTTCGTCCCCTCCTCCCTATGTTCGTCCTTATGTTCGTCCCCTCCTCCTCCTCCTCCTTCTCCTCCTCCTCCTCCTCGCCCTCTTCCCCTTCCTCGCCCTCGCCCGTCTCCTGCTCCTCACCATCCTCGCAGCCCTCACCCTCGCCCTCCTCCTGCTACCTTTCCTCCGCCCGTGCCCTGCTACCAGGCCGTGCTCCCCGCCATGCGCACCTTGAAGCTTGGGCAGTGGGGTCAGCACAGATGGGGGGCCGGAGCAGGCGCGGCAGTACTAGTTTTTGCATGGATGCAGCAGTCTTGAATCTGGACGCAGTAGCTGCGCGCGGATGCATCGTGTGCGTTCGTCTCAAATGCAACAGTTCGCGCCCCTTGCAGCAGTTCGCGCCCCCCAGCAGCAGCTCGCGCAAGAGTCCGCGCAATCGAACAGTTATTGCACCTCCCAGCGCTCCCCCCTTGGCGTCGCGCCCATCGCTCCAGTCCAGGAGCACCTCCGTCCTCTCCTCCCCTCCCCCCAGGCGGCCATCTCGACGGCCCGGGCTGGCCGCGCCCAGAGGGTCAGGCGTAGCAGCACACGGCGCCGCTGGAGACCTGGCGGGGGGGAGGGGGGGGCGCAGGCTGCGGGGAGGGCGGGGGGGGGGAGGGGGGGACGGGGAGGGAGGGCGAGGGGGAAGGAGGCGAGGAGGAGGAGGCGGAGGAGGAGGAGGAGGAGGAGGAGGACCAGCGCAAGCCCGAGACGCGTCAACGACGTTGCAATGGCGCTCCCTCTCCTCAGTCGTGCCAAAACCATTCAAGGGACTTCGACGCCGAGGATTAACGTTATTGGTGCGTCCGGACTATCCTAAATCGTGCCAGAGTACCATTGTTGGGATGCCAACACCACGAATCAGGGTGACCGTGGCGCCTTGACAGTCGAGAACCGCGTCAGAACTCCATTCCTGGGGCTTCGGCCGCATACCATATGAATCCTTGAAGACGACTGCGCGCGGCGTTAAGGCGAAATCCATATTCTGAAAAGTAACCACCCGCCAGACAGATTGTACCACGCCGGCTGCACCTTAGTAACATATCGCACCACGTATATTACCCCTCAAAGATTTATATCGCACCACAAAAATTGCACTACGTCGGTGGGGCCGCATAGATTGCACCACGTGTATCCTCCTGTTCTCAGAGAATAGATCCACCCCCGCATCCAGAGTCAACGGGCCACTTCTTTCGTATTGCACTGTGCAAATGATTCTGCGCACTCGTCCATCCTGAATATGAATTTGTACCATCGCAGGCACTCGTCGACCACCCCCCATCATTTGGAACAAATGTGCGCGTGCACAGTTTTATCAAACATCGCAATTTTCTTAAAGAAACAAAAGCAAACAACAAAAACGAGTGAAGTACACACCCGCGCGCCGTCGCGGGCGCACGCCGAAATCATTCAAAAACCTTCGCCTCGTCAGGATTTCAGAATCGAGTGTTTCGAGCACAGATGGAAAACCAATGGTTTCGCACCAAGCACTTTCAAGAAAGCGTGCGCTCGGGAATTATAACTTCTTTGATGTATGAGAAACCGTCGGTTTGACACGTGTCCATCACATGCTACCAAACGTGCCCCTCTCGCGCGCATGTCGAAATCGTTCGAACACTTTTTGCTGCGCGAGTGCTGCCGAAAGAACCCATGGCAACAAAAACGACAAACTGCACGCGCTCGCGTCGTCGCGCGCGCATGTTGGAATGATTCAAGAACCCTAGGTCCCGTAAGGATGTCAACATCGAATGCCCCGAAAACATGTGCAAACACATGGTTTTGCAACATCCGTTTTCCAAAGAGAAGGTCTGCGCTCGCACTGTTGCAAATTCTGCTGAAACCCATAAGTTGTTCCCATCTTCTCACCAAGTTCGACCAGACGGACCTCCCGCTCCGCATGTCGAACTATTTGGGGGGGCCCGACCCTTGTCAACTTATACCATTTGGGCCATTCGCACGCGTCGGCCGCGCACGCATGTCAAAGTCCGTCCAAAGCCTTCATCAATGGCGCGACGACACCGTCATTGTCATCGGTATGATTAGCATCGACGCCGTTTTTGGTCTTGCCGCCGTCATCGTCATCATCGTCGCCATCATCACTACTACCATCATCGAGTGTACCGTTGTCGACGTGGCCATGATACCGCGCCCGCCCAAGTCATCGACTCGCGCTGAAGGGCCCGCCGTGAAAGGCCCAGCGGTCAGCGCCACCGCGGCCGCATCGGTCCAGCCAAACTAGCTGGCCGCTGTGCGGGCGAGCATGCGCGGGCTAGCTCGGCCGCAGAGATGCACCAGCCAACTCCAAGCACTCATCGTGCTCGCCGCTGCATGGGTTTTGCCAACCAAATTGCGGGCGGGTGGGTGGGATGATTGCGCGAGCCGTTGGGTTGGCAACTCCACTCCTGTCAAGATTAATTATCCTTTCTAAAAACAGGATGGGGTCTACCCCCCGCCCCCGGCGTTATCGGTCCCCCTTTTCGGGTTTGTAAATCATATATGATTCTGACCACATGTCCATCCGAAATCTGAATTTACACTATCCCCGGGGGGCCGGTATCCCCCCCCTGAGGGTCCCTTGTTAAAAAAACACTATGCGGTGACATGTTTTGTTCTAACATAGCACTTGTTCACGGATCCCTTGCAAAAAAAAACAAAGTGCACACGCGCGCGTCGTCGCGCGCGCATGCCGAGATCCTTCAAAAACCTGCGGTGCCGGAAGGATTTCGCAATCGAGTCTCCAAAAAGCATACAAAAACACAGGGTTTCGCAACACTGATTTGCTAAAAAAGCTTTTGCGCGAGCTCTTGCGAAATCTTAAGAAAACCATTGGTTTTTCAAGATTTCCACAACATGCCACCAAACGGGCTTCGCGCGCGCATGTCGAAATCTATCGAACGCCCTTGCGCGTGTGCCGTCGCGAGAATCGTCTGCAAAAAACGGGGACGAAGTGCAGACGCGCGCGTCGTCGCGCGCGTATGCCGAAATCCTTCAAAACCCATCGGTTTCGGAAGGATTTCAAATCGTGTGTCCAAAAAACCTACAAAAACCCAAAGTTTCGCAACACGGGTTTTCAACAAAAGCGTGCGCGCGCGCTCTTGCGTCGTCGTCGTCGTCGTCGTCGTCGTCGCCGTCCTCCCTCCTCCCGCGTCGTCGTCGTCGTCGCCTACGTCGTCCTCTGTCTTTCCTCGTGTTCGTCGTCATCGTCCTCTTTGGCGTCGTGGTCGTTTCCGTCGTCGTTGTCGCCGTGGTCGTCCTTCCTCCTCCTCCCTCGTCGTCGTCGTCGTCCGTCGTCGGCGTCTCGTCGTCGTCCCTCCTATTTCGTCGCCGTCGTCGTCGTCGTCGTTGTCGTCGTCGTCTTCCCTCCTCCCTCGTCGTTGTCGTCGTCGGCGTCGCCGTCCTTCCTCCTTCTTCGTCGTTCGCGTCGTCGCCGTCCTCCCTCCTCCCTCGTGATTGTCGTCGTTGTCGTCGTTGTCGCCGTGGTCGGCCTTCCTCCTCCCTCGTCGTCGCCTTCGTTGGCGTCGTCGTCGTCGTTTTCGTCTTCGTCGTCGTCGGCGTCGTTGTCGTCGTCGAAGTCGTCGTCGGTGTCGTCGTAATTGTTGTCGTCGGTGTCGTCGTAGTCGGTCTGAAGAGGTTTTGCAAACCAAATTGCGGGTGGGTGGGTGGGATGTTTGCGCGAGCGGTGGGGATGACGACTTCAAGTTCAGCAGAGTGGAGTACCCAACATGAATTGCACCACGTCGGCTGCACCACATAGATTACGCACCAGACATATCGCACCACATTGTAGGGCTGTTTCGCATATGATTCTGCGCACCCGCCCATGCAAGTATGATCCCACACCATCCCAAGCAGACGCTCATCGACACCCCCCATCCTTGCAACAAATTATGTACGCGCGCACTCGTATCAAAATCATCCAGACCCGAACTCTTTGCAAACATGAAACGGCATGCGCACGCGCGCGTCGTCGCGCGCGCATGCCGGAATCCTTGGAAAACCGCATTTGTCGTGAGGATATCAAGATCAACCGCCCCGAAAATATGTAAAAAACTCCATGTGGTTTTGCAACACCAGTTTTCAAACAAAGAAGGGTTCGCGCGAATCTGCGAATTCATCATATGTTTCCCACATGTTCATCACATGCGACCAACTGGGCCTCTCGCGCCGCATGTCAAAACCATTCGAACGCCAGTTCGTACGTGCTGGGGGGCAAGGCGCGATACCTGTCAAATAACACAATGCGGGCCACTCGCGCGCGTCGACCGCGTGCCTATGTCCGAACTCCATCCAAAACCTCCATCACCGACGCGAGGACACCGTCATCGTCACCGGCGTCGTCTGCATCGGCGTCGTCCTCGGTCTTGCCGTCGTCAGCGTCATAATTTCCCCCATCATCGCAAATAATATTGGGTGTCAATCGTTGCCGTTGTCGCCATGATGCCGCGCCCGCAAACTCGCCGACTCGCATTGAAGGGCCCGCCGAGAAAGGCCCAGCGGTCAGCGCCACCGCGGCCGCGTCGGTCGCGCCAAACGAACTGGCCGCTGTGCGAGCGAGCGTGCGCGGGCCAGCTCGGCCGCAGAGATGCACCAGCCAAAACCAAACGCTCATCACAATTTTCGTTGCATGGGTTTTGCAAACCAAGTTGCGAGCAATGGAGTTGACAATTCCAAGTTTTTCAAAGTCAGTTGCATCACATCAACTGCGCCACGCCAGTTGCTCCACAAACGTTGCCGAAACGATACTGCCAACATAGATGTCACATCGTAAAAATGTACAACTGTGTATATACATATGTTTATATATATGTACATATACAAGTACATATGCATAACCCAATGAATGTGCGTCTGCATATACATAAGCGTATGCGTAGACAATACATATACGTGTACGTAAGATACATATGCTTGTGCATCTACATTTACATACACCAACGCATGTACATACATGCACGATGTACACAATCACAGCTTCACCGCAAAAATAGGCATGTGCATATACATATACATGTATATGTAAATATGAATATACAGAGCTATATCCGTTTGTGCATATATATATATATATGTGCATGCACCTACACAAGCATATGCATGTACATGTACAATACACACACATATATGTATATATATATATATATATATATATATATATATATATACATACGTATACGTATATATACATATATATATATGTGTGTCCATGCATAACACATGCATATACACATCTATGCACATGTACAATTCTATATGCAAGGCACCCATGGCGAAAAGGGCCACGCTGCGCCAGCGGGCACGAACGGTGAGAAACACATGTGGATCGACACGCAACGCCCTTCCCGTCCCTGCACACACCCCATTTCACATCGAACCTCGGGAGAATACGATGAGAACCGCGGAAAACCACGAGGAGGATGATAAGGAGGAGGAGCGCCGGGACCCGAGCAGGAATGGGAGGGACGCGAGCACGGAAACGCCAAACGCAGGCAACGGCGAGGCCAAACCGCGTGATTTTGCCGCTCCCCGCCCACCGCGCCTGCGCAAACAGGCCTTCTTCAAGCTGCTG